TTAGTAGCCCATACCCTGGTGACCTTTTTAGGGAGTGACATCATCTTGGCATTAGTTTAACAGACTGATTTGCTGTAAAGTCAATTCATTTAGAGATGGAGCCAAGCCATCAACTTTAGCTGAAATATTTAAACCCTTTCATCTATTACTGCGTTAGGTAATTCTGCTAGCCTAACCTCCAGAGTCCCTCTTATTTCTACTGCAAACTTATTTTATACAGACAGATAACAGAAAGTTGGTCTTTTTGATGGTGACTGTTGTAGGAAATGATGGCACTGACACTGTAAATTCTTAAAGATAGGGGGGAAAAAAAAGAAGTAAAAAATACAGGGAGTCTTGGCCTGGAGATGGGAAGTAGGACTCCCTAATAGTTAGGGACTATTAGGACTCTAATTAAAAGAAACAAAGTAATAAGCAAAAAGATTTATAAGATTAAATGGTTACTGATATACTGTAATCACTGGTTTCCTTTACCAGTAATTAGAGGAAAAAGTGAAAGCTTGATTATCACACTCAACATTAAATGCTTTATTTTAGTATGTGATTTGTTCTCTAGCTCAATATAACTCAGTTGCTCATGTATCAGTCATATGCTTACATAGCAGTTTTTGGTTTACAATTTAAACCCAAGCTGACCCCATTTCTAAAGGGTACAAAAATAAAAACTAAGCAGAGGAAAAGTTACTTTTCCTTAGTTTTTAAGAAACCTGAAAACTGTAGTGAATACTGTATTTTACAACCTCGAAAGTTCTCATCTGAAGGTATGACAAATTTCAAACAACATGGGATGATCTTACCCTCCTCCACAATCTCAATCATTCCTTGGTACTCTGTCTGTGTTGGATCAACACTCCTCAGGGGACGAATGACTTTGCCAGAGTAGATGGTGGGATCAGCTTCCTCAGTAATACCATTCACTACAAAACAAACAGGTATACTTCTCACTCCATAGTTTTGTTCACACATGGTGGGCTGGTTGCCTGCTAGCCTGAAATTAGGTAGGTAACTTAAAGCCAAGTTCTATTTCTAGAACCGTCATTTGACCTCAAAGACTTCTGGTATCCTAAAAGTTGCCACACATGGGGAAAATGGAAAATTGTAGCCAAAGATTCTTTAGTTATAAAATACTCAGTACAGATTTTTTTTTTTTTTTTTTTTT